TCGGTACGTACCTCGGTTTTAATGTCACGGTTCGGTATGATTTCTGTACAGCAGGAGGGAAAACTAAACTTTTTAAAAAACATTTTTTTATGGTTTACTGAACAAGTTGCTCTTTCTTTAAATACATTCAGTTATAGTTAAAATTTTCTTAGTGATAAAAATCTTAGCTTATGCTTAAAACTATAGGGAGTCCTTTTACATTATAAGGTTACAAGTAGGCATAACAACTTAACCCAAACTTAAATTTAATTGCTATTTATTTTTAAATAGATGATCAACACTCAACTTAAAAAAAAAATAAAAAAATTGCATGCAAACATGTAAATTGCACATAATGCAGTTTTTAAATTAACTTATAAATAATACAATTTCTAAGTTATTTGTTAAAATATATTAAATTACACAATGGCTGTGATAGCATGTTTCATAACAGATTAATTTAAACATACTGTACATTAAGTAATTAAGACTAACAGGTTTAGTAAAATATAATGAGTATATGGTGTAATATTTTGCAAAATGCTCCTCTCTAGACTTAATTTCTCTAGTAAACTAACGAGCTGTGTTTTATTTCCACGCTGTATTGTTGATGGCTTTCCGTGGTTGAAACACCGATTGAGCAATTACATGAGGCATGAGATGTTCAGTCATGTTTATTCGCGTTAAAACTAGTAGTACAGAGGAAGGAATGATCGAGTTCACTCGCGCTCCGCTCTGCACAAATCTGCGGGGCGTCACGGCTCAGACACGGGAACCGGATCTGATCGCGGCCACTCTAGTCAGAGCTTATGTTGGGTTTATATCAGCACGTTTCTGAACCGTCCCAGAAGCGGCTCTCTAAGGCATTTATGTGTACCGTTACACCCCTAATATATATATATATATATATTTTTTTAAAATAAAAAATACATTAATACGATTAAAATACAATAAAATAAAATATAAAATATAAAAAAAATTTATGAAATAAAATAAAATAAAGCAAATGTAAATTATATTCTTCAGTGAAAATTATATTCTTCTTTCATTTTAAATGAAAATTAAATTACATTTAAAAATAAAATATAATTATATTTAAATGATTAATTTAAATACATTTAAATACAAAGTTAGCAAATAAGTAATTATGCCAGGTTGCCAGGACCTAGGTATTTATATGCGGTTACTGTTCTGACTGGTTGTGAGCTAGCACAAATTAAGAGCCCACCAACAATCACTGTGATTTTTTTCTATGGGATTTTCCTCTTGTGGACAGTTTAAGGCACTTATAAAATAAAAATCATACCTCACCTCAAGAATGCAGTGTAAGTAAGTAACGCACTAGAACCATGCACTTGAAATGCATTGACCAAGTATGTGTGTTTGGATGAAGTACATTTCTACCCAAAGTTGTTAGAGATTTGCAATAGTAATAGTGATGCAACACCTCTAATAAGGCAGTTCCTAATGAAAATTGATAGCAAATTCTCATGAAAGCTACATTTCGAAGCATTGCATGCTTGTTTAATAATGCATAAGTCGATAGGGGAGGGTCAGACGCTTATGTGTATAGTGCCTATACAGCACTGAGCTCTCTTTAGCATTCAGAAAGCATCAGACCCTTAATGCATCACTGTGGTTTTCCCCCTGACTGCTGATGGAGATTCAAGCCCCTCATTAGGGCTGTGCGATATTGAAGAAAAATGCGATATGCGATATGATATTGCTTAAAGTGTGTCAAATCAATTTCAATTATATTTTAAAATATTTAAAAATGAAAAATATATAACCAATTTGTTTCACATTCTTTCTTGGAAAAGAAAGAATCACTATAACTTCTGAAAGTGACCAGCAGTGTTTTAGCATTACATAAAAAGTAATGTCACAAATCAGAAAATGTCATTTTAACATCAGTGTGAACACACAAACAAAAAAAATTAATGACACTAATTTTATATCATTGTAACTTTGCTTTCCACACACTTTAAGTACTTCTTCATATACCACAGCAAAAACTATATGATTTAAGGCAAGTGAACAGTCAGTAAAAAAAAGAAAGAAAAAGGAAAAAAAGAAATGCCCAATTTACAAGCATAGATCAAATAAACAGTAGTGTTCAGGTACAGAAATTTAATAATTAAGTGTAAAATAACACTGCATAGTGTTCACTGTATGAATTAAATTTAGATTAATCTTTGTTATAGCTGTTTTGTTGTTTGATTAACATTAGGGACTAGGGCTGAGTATCGTTCAAAATTTTTCGATATCGATACCTATACCTTGACTTCGATACTGGTACCTGAACGATACTTTTTTCGATACCAATTTTATGAAATCAATTTTAACAAGATTACATTATCTAAAAAAATAACTTTGGTTTTATTTTTCAGCTTGTTGATGTTTATACAAACTCAAAGACTCATCTCCTGAGCCACTGCACAAAGGAACAAAATGTAACCAACACAATAAATCAGTGCAAATAGTTTTAATAAAGCTCAAATAGTCTTCAGTTTACACATCTGTTAGGCTACATTTACACTAGTTAGTGTTTGTTTTAAAACGCATAGAAATCATGATTCTGTCTGAGCTATTTATTTTCCACTGATTTACTGATGAGCATTAGCAGCTTCCAGCGCTGTCTGCCTGTGTTCTCTCTTCCATGATCGCTGCTCTGACTCAGAGGTAATAACATATTTAATTTCAGCAACACATGGCCAAAACACAAAGTTATTACAAACACTCGATGGTGGTTTAAATTGAATTTTGAGTAAAAGCGGAATATAAATCTTATTTATTGACTTATGTAGCATAATGCTACAGTTTGCATGAATGGTCACATAACACGCGCTTTCGGTCATGTAATGTTAGTATGAACGGACATCTGCATCTGATCGGAACTCCACGCAGCTCACGCGCTACTCTCCATTGGAAATGAATGACTGAATGACCGGTCTGTC